CGTGAACAGACCACTTAAATATCTTTGTGGACAAACTGAATTCGCTCGAACCAACATTGAACTACATGTATTACCATTTGTTTTAGATTCAAAATGAACTATGCTGAGTCTATTTTTTAACCACCTTATACTTACAATTTCAGTCTCAGCTACAGTTTATACATGAAGCTATTATAGAAGGAATTAAAAGAGGAGATACTGCTATGAATAAAGATAGATTTGAGTATGGTGCCAGTAATGTTTCCTTTAAAATGGGAAATTCCACATTGAAACAACAGTTCGATTATTTGAAATCAGTACAGTGTAATGAAGGTAACTATGATGAGTCAATTTTTACCCCCCTCATACTTTTAATCTCAGTCTCAGCTACACCAACAGGTATTCACCAACGTTTGTACGACTTTTTGAAATAGCTTTACATAGGGTACAGTTTCTTATCCAGACCGACGCATCTGATCCCTATTTTTGATCTCACTTGTTTTTAGTCTTATTTGACCCCACTAGTCGTATCTGAAGGGTTGTTTTTTTTTTGTTTTTTTTTTTGGGGGGGGGGGGGGGGGTACATCAAAGGGGGGCTTGTTTCTTACTGTAACAAAAGTTAAATATAAATAGAACATAACTGCTTTATATATTTTATGCGTTCTTTCTACTTTTCAGTGGCAGCCGAACAAAACAAACAAATAATAAGTGACAAAACCCATTTATATAGATATTCGGTAGGTATTGTCTTATATCTTTAGAATTCGGGTCCGTTTGAAACCAAATTAGTTCTTACGACTACATCATACTTAGAGATAGTGGACATGTTATAAGGTTTGATAAAAGAAACGGGATTGTTTTAGCTAAGGTAATCAGTAATAGTGTTCGCAGCTCACCATTGAAATTTGAGTCTTCAAATGTGTGTTCAGTAATATTCACTATGAATGTTATAATGACGACTCGTCTTTTCTTGAGACACTGTCATATGTAGAAAAGACATAATATATAGAAATAGAAATGGTGAAGCTATCCCTTTCAGAATTGAAAGACTTTAAGTAACCTTTGGAATCCGATTTCTGAATACTGACAATCTTTGTATTAGAAACATATCTAGTTTGTTACACCTTATATAACTTGCGAATGGATCCAGACGAGCGAACTAGTGCAAACGTGCAAACCCCAACTGGATAGTATTCGTAAGTCAATGGTAAGATAACACATGGAGGTTAATGTGTTAATAAACACAATTCTTGTTAATCTGTTAACCAATTTGTTAATTTGTCTTCAGTCTTACACCTGTGAAAACAGTATTTTATTTGAAGATCTTCATAAAGTTCCCACAAGTGATGTTTGGAAGGAAGTATATAAAACACAGATTCCAGTTGTCGTGTTTATTTTAGATAGTACGGTAGGAATCTTAATATGCATAATTCTTTAGTTTTTACTTCATATAGAAATAAAAATGACCATGATTAACAATTTACCCATTTACCATCCTCTTATACCTTGACATCATAAGCCACCTTTTATGTATCGTTCGATGAATTCGACGAATAGCGTGCAGGCGACAGAAACATCGGGATATCTGATTGGCTGTTTTTGCTAGCGTACAATCCAATTAAATTACTGCATTTACAAACTAATGTGATACAAGAATAGTGGCTATTGCAGTCAAGGGTTTAGACGAAGTTCGTTATAGCTTGACATTGTGAATATGTCCATTGTTATTCAACATGTTTTGAAGATGTTTAGTAGCTCATGGTTTTGAAATGGCGATATTATGCATTAAATTAATCTAAATTCCAATACAGTTTAAAGATGATGTGTGTCTACAGGTCGGATCTGAAAGATTGTATAACGATTGCGTTGTTACAGCTACATCAGAGAATCTCATAAATGATGATCTAAAAAACACATGCGTCACAATTTCTTTCGTACAGGTAATATTTTAGAACTGAATTTATAAATTTTTAGTTTGACTCTTTAAAAAGTTTTTTTTGTAACATATGAATTATAGTTGTTGTTTTTTTCATTGCCATTCATTTTCATGTTTCTATTTTGTATATATTCTTTTGAGTCTTTAAGAGTGAAATACTTTAAACTGCACGAGGAATATGTCTTCCAACCTCTTTTTTCATAAATCAACATAAAAATATTCAACGGTTTAATCACAAACAGCTTAAGAAGGTTTAATGGTACAAATCTGCTTGCTGTATTTTGAATGGACCATTAATTTTGAATGCCAATCAGCGATACTTCCGCCGCTAGTTTTAGACAAACCTTTCTCCTTTTTAAACAGAATTGGCGTAGTTTATACATATAATAAGTAATTTATTCTGTAATCACGCCTGGCGTTCATGAACACAATCAAGATTCCTTATATAATGTATATTTTTGCAGGGACGCCCCGAGCAGCAAATAAATGCAATAACATTGAATTTGGCTACGAGTTCAGCAACGAAATCAAGAGCTTTATATAAATGTGTTCAAGAATTATTAGTACAGTTAGAAGCTATATCTCATAATGATTTCGATCCAATCATACTTTTTTCAAGGTAAGAAGAACTTAATATTGGAAATTATTCATGA